CTGCTTCTTCACTTTCTCCAGCTCATGAATTGCCTTTCCTTGCTCAGCAATCTGCTCTGTGAGGTCGGAAATCTCCTCTGTGGAACAAAGATCAATGGCATGGTCAGGCACAGAGCAGAATGGGAAGGGTCCTGTCCCACCAAGGTGACAGGCATCTCTGCAGACCTGCAGGCACACACCCATGAGCAATGGTGGTAATGGCTGATAGTGAGAAAGGCCAGGGAGGAGCAGAGGGCCAGGGACTTACGCTGCAGGTTCTTGTTCTCCCGCTTCATTGTTTCCAGGTGGTCCAAGGACTCCTCATAGGCATTCTTCATCTTGAACAGCTCCGTGCTGAGAGAGCGCGACTCCTTCTGCGAGGCCTCCAGCTCAGCCTGTGTTTCCTCATACTTCTGCTTCCATTCTGCCAGGATCTGAAGAGAAACGGGGTGTGAGTAGGGCTGTGGCCATCATGGGGCCATGCTCTGGCCAGGAGTGCTGGTGCTGGAGGCCAAAAGACCTTGTCAAAGTTCTTCTGCTTCTTATCCAGAGCAGCACAGGCAGCATTGGATCTCTCGACGTCAATCATCAGGTCCTCCACTTCATTCTGCAGCCTCTGCTTTGTCTTTTCCAGGGAGGCACATTTGGCATTGACAGCCTCAACATGTTCCTCTGCATCCTGCAGGCGCTGGGCCAGTTTCTTCCTGGGAGGAGACAAGCACAGTTGCCCATTAGAGCTTGGAAAGATATGAGTTCTGTATTATCATGAGAGGTCATCTGTTCACTTTAAGGGTTTTGAACTAAACATTTTTTGCAGGTGTTAAAGTATCTATACTTTGCTGTTTCCTATCATCTGGGGAGGATTAGGCCTGTCTTAGCACTTCTAAAGCCTAAGTTTTCTCATTCCAATCTACACTTTTTCTCTCTCTCTCCTCCCTTTTTTTAAAAAGACATTCTATCCTTGCTTCCATCCCATTCTTATCTTATCCCACTCTCAGAGATTCCAATTTCCCTTGACCTATTTCAGTCTTCTCCAGTCATTTCCCATCCTTCTTCCCCACATACTTGGCCTCCTCGAGCTCCTCCGTGCGCTGAATCGCGTCCGTCTCGTATTTGGTTCTCCACTGGGACACTTCGCTGTTGGCCTTGGACAGGGCTCGCTGCAGCTCCCCCTTGGCCTCCTGCTCCTCCTCATATTGTTCCCGGAGCAAGTCACAGTCGTGGCGAGCGGACTGCAGGGCGTGGGCCAGGGCATTCTTGGCCTGTGGGGACATTGGGTTTGGTGACCTAAATACTTATCTTGAAATGTTTCTTCACTGTAAACTTGAAAATAAAATTGAAATGTATAACTGGGAAAATACCTCATGTTCCAGGGAGGCCTGCACAATTCAGCACAAAGAATATTTTACATTCAAAATAATCTTTCATGCAGTTCCACATGAAAGGTAGGCTTCCTTTCCAGCCCTCTCTCCAAAGGACTACGTGCATACTCTTTGTGGAGGCATCATTAATCAGCACTGTCTGTACCTCAGCTTCCTCCAAGGAGGCTTGCAGTTCAGATTTCTCCTGCTCAACCTGCTTCTTCACTTTCTCCAGCTCATGAATTGCCTTTCCTCCCTCCGCAATCTGCTCTGTGAGGTCGGAAATCTCCTCTGTGGAACAAAGATCAATGGCATGGTCAGGCACAGAGCAGAATGGGAAGGGTCCTGTCCCACCAAGGTGACAGGCATCTCTGCAGACCTGCAGGCACACACCCATGAGCAATGGTGGTAATGGCTGATAGTGAGAAAGGCCAGGGAGGAGCAGAGGGCCAGGGACTTACGCTGCAGGTTCTTGTTCTCCCGCTTCATTGTTTCCAGGTGGTCCAAGGACTCCTCATAGGCATTCTTCATCTTGAACAGCTCCGTGCTGAGAGAGCGCGACTCCTTCTGCGAGGCCTCCAGCTCAGCCTGTGTTTCCTCATACTTCTGCTTCCATTCTGCCAGGATCTGAAGGGAAACGCATTCTTGGCCTGTGGGGACATTGGGTTTGGTGACCTAAATACTTATCTTGAAATGTTTCTTCACTGTAAACTTGAAAATAAAATTGAAATGTATAACTGGGAAAATGGATATCATGGAGCTGGTGAAGCCCTCATTGTTACATTCAGGAGCATAAGGATGCGATACTGACTCTTGGACAGTAATCTGCTGTTTGTGTATATGTTCTGTCGTGTGCTGAATCCTGTCTCAGAGGGGATCATCAGAATTGCATTGAAACCTTGTGGATTGCTTCCTCCAGCATCTAAAATATCTGCTTCCTTCCTTATCTAGAGGAAGAGTGAGGGCTTGTGCATTAGTGCTGTTCCCCCTGGTCCTACGTGTGTTTAGGGAAGGAACTTTGAGACAGTCTATTCCAGGGCTGCCATCTCCTCAGTCAGGTTTTTCACCTATGAGAAGAAGGGAGCAAATATAAATAAAGGAAGTAGATATAGAAGTCCTGTAAAATCACAGGGCTCTTTTTCAGAATGAAAGTGGCATATCATACCTTGTTTTCAGTGGCATGTTTTTCCTTCTCCACCTTGGCCAGTGTTAGCTCAAGGTCATCAATATCTTTCTTCAGCTCTGAACATTCATCCTCCAATTTCCTCTTCTTGGCTGTCAGTTCAGCATTAATTTCTTCTTCATCCTCTGCCCTTTCAGTCAGCTCCTTAATTTTGGCTTCCAGCTGGATTTTGTTTTTGATGAGTTGGTCACACCTTTCCTCAGCATCAGCCAAGCTATCTGCTTCCTGGTGGGGAGACAGAATTTTGTAGATTCTAATGTTTTAAACTTTCTCTGCTCTGCCTTTTTTAATCACAGTGTTGGCAGGTTTAAAAGTAGCAGCTGAACCTGAATCTCCAGGAACAGAAGGATCTCGAGTGGTGTCTACTGATAAAGTTTGGCATTTGTAATCAATATTTATTCGAAAGTTTTTGTGTCTCCTAAATTTGTCTCCCAGTGCAGTTATCTATGAAAATGCTTCATAACACAAGCACGATTGCAGAACTGAACATTGTAATTCAATTTCTAATTTCAGCATAAGCATCAGCTTGGAATATGGCTTTCTTCTCATGGAAATTGTAGTTACTTTTTTTTTAGTTGTCTCAACAAAACCTTAAAATTCTCGTAATTTACAGGCTTTTTGATTTCTGAAAACACTTTTTTGGAGAAAGAAATGTATCAGTTTTTTACAGACTGCATGGCCAATAGAGTTCTGGCCTATCAGCTACCTCTGTGGCTTCTTTCCGGGCACATCTAGGATCTTCTCTGGTAACTAGCTGATCATTTATTGGGTGTTAAGAAACTCCCTTGTCCTATTTGAGTTTGAATGGGAAGTATCCATGTTTCTGAAAATAATCAAGTCTTTCTTGTGGCTGTATGTCGGAAAAGTAGGTCTTTCTGTGAGTCTCTTTGCAGGACAAGAAGCATTCTGACAGTATATAATTCTTTTTCCTGGGGAAAATGAACAGTGATACTCACAGCCTGCACTTGGAGCTGCAGGTCATTTTTCTCCTGCACCAAGGCCACCATTTTCTCCTCAAGCTCCTTGCGCTTTGCCTCAGACTTTGCAAGTTCCTCCTTGGTTTTCTCAAACTCTTCCTTCATGTTGGCCGTCTCCTTCTCAGACTCTGCACTCTTCAGCCAGGGCTTGATCTTGAAGAACAGCTTCATCCATGGCCAGTGTTTGACATTCATGAATGCACGAACATTGTACTGGATGCAGAAGATGGACTCTCTGAAATGAAATTCACACAGTTATTGTATGGATATGGTGTGATTAATTTAAACTTCATCAGTAAAGTTCCATGAAAATCAAATAAATATGACAAATATCTACCTCCTCTCCACCATTTTCCTATACTCCACTCTCATCAGGAAGCCCCTGCACCTGGCTTGAGTGCGAGTGATGATTTCTGCCAACTTGTCATCTCTCATCTCCTCCAGGAGTCCCAGCAACCCAGCTTTGAAGAACACCTTGAGAAAGGAAATGTTGCACCATGTCATTGTGATGGAGGACAGAACAGAGCACAGAGTCATTCAGATTGCTGAAAGACTTTAATGGCCATCAGTATCACCTTGGGCCCCCTCCCAGATCCTCTCTCCAAGGGCTTAGGACTTCCTATAATCTCAGCCTAAGCATTCAGTCCTTGTCTGAGCTATGTGTCATGAGTACTGGTTTCCAGTTTAGCCACAGCCTCAGCCACTCCTCTGCCTGGTCCTGGACACTGGTGAGCTCTACCATGACTTATTAATTCCTGGCTTGATGTTAGACCAATCTCACTACTGTGTATATGTCCACTAATTAATGACTTGGGCCTTGCCTTTTTAGCCTACCTATATCTGACCCGAGAAATGTTGAAAAACAAGGTTTTATGGCTTCAACTTAGACCATTCTTATTATAACAAACTTGTTTGATAGCATGGACTGAATTGAGTTGACTGGAGTTGAGTCTGACTATAATTCCTCACTTGCCTTGATTGAGTACTGTGAGACTGGGAACTTGCTGATAGCGGCCCCTAGTCTGGCAGCTCTGTTATGTTCTTGTGCTGTGCCTGATTCCCTGACAGAGCCCACTCTCTGGACTTTTAACACAGGTCTTGTTATTACCTTGGTGTGACCAAATTTGTACTGGGTGTGATCTACATCAATGGACCCAAGGAGCTTCTCTGAAGCCTTCTTGTTGTCCATGAATTGTCCCTCTGGGATAGCACTGGCATTAAGTACTCTATATCTGCACAAGGAAACAAAACATTAAGAAATCATTTGTTGAAACCACCACCAGAACTTTTCAGACTGTACCACTGAGCCCATCTCATGCCTAGAGACAGGTCACCCTCTCAGGAGAGGATATGGGGAATGTTTTTAATAGTAATTCCAAGTGCAAAACAATCCTGATCTCAGCACTGCCGCATCATCATAAACTGATGGTAAAACATCTATATTAATGATCAGTACTGCTTTAAAATAAAAAGTTCAAAGTATATTATAATAATCAGGCTGTTCAGCTTGGTCTGAATT